AACATAAATGGAATAAGTTGTGAATGATAAAATCATTGTGATGCAACAAGGAGAAATAGTTGAAGAAGGAGATCATGATTCATTGATGAAAGCTCAAGGCATATATTTTGATCTTATTAAACAACAATATTTACGTCAAGTTGAAGAAGAAGAAGAAGAAGAATTACAATTGGAACAAAAAGAAATAACTAAGTTGATGTCTGGTGATGAAACAAATAATGATTCAATTGAACAAGTACATCATAAAAAAACAATAGATAGCGCTACTCAATCTGTAATATCTGCTGTATATGGGATGAAAAATTCACTAGCAGGATACAAGTGGCGCAAAAATGATGACGAAAACATGATTACAATGAAGGTAATAGAAATAAAAGCCAAATATTCGAGTATGAAAGCTAGAAATGATTTAAATAGGAAAGAAAGAAAAGTACTACATTAGCTATATTACAAATGAACAAACCAGAATGGCTATTGATTGCAATTGGATGTATAGTAGCTTCAATGAATGGAGCCACGGAGCCGTCATATTGTGTTATTCAAACAAAACTAGCAACAGTAAATATCTGAGAAATATTCATATTAGAGACATATTTTTTTGCTAATAGGTTTTTCAAGAATGTGATGAAAATGTTCAAAAGCGCAAAGTTTTTCTTTACATCCTTCTTTATCTTCTCTTTGGAGTTATAAGTTTAATATTGCTTTCAATTCAGGTATGTGTTTTAATAACTTTTGTAAAGGTTTGGCAAGTATGCTATTGATTAGGGCTATATGTTTGCTCATTCTGGTGAAGCCCTTACTAAACGACTTCGATCAAAATCTTTTCGAGCTATTCTTCGTCAAGAAATTGCCTATTTCGACCAAGAAAAACATAGTACCGGCGTATTATGCACGCGTCTTGCAACTGAAGCATCTGCTGTACAAAGTGCAAGTGGTGTTCGCTTTGGTTTGATTCTTCAACATATTTTTGGAATGATAGTTGGAATTCTAATTGGATTTGTATATTCGTGGCAGTTAACATTGCTTATGCTTGTTTTTCTTCCCTTTATATTATTTGGAGGTATTTTACAAATTCGACTAACAACTCACTTTACAAGGAAAGACAAACAAATTCTAGAGGATGTTGGAAAGGTTTGTGAATCCTTTGTTTGGTTCTCATCTATATACTGCTAAAATTAGAGATATTGTGATCGATTAGTTTGTGAGTATTTTCCCTACAAGATAGCATCGCTAAGACTAGTGAAATTAATGAATAGAGAAGAACCTCTCTTATATGAATATGACTGAGACATTTCTAAAATAATTGATACTAATAGATGTTACAAATTTAATCATTCAATGTAAAAAGTTTTATATTATAAGCTTTTATAATACAATAGGTATGCAGTAATCAGAAACATTTCATTTCGTTATTCATGTTCTTTCCATTTAATCCACTGAACCAAAAGACATTTGAAAAAATGTCTAATTAGATATTGGCTAAGTTAATCTTAGTGATATACGTGTCAATGTAGAATTACTATCATTGTCATCATTGTTGTATTCATAGATGTACCAGGATGAATATTTGATACAGCTACCTGGGACAATGGTTCCAACGATCGGCAACAGCATTTTGAGTGATATAAAACAACTATTGAAACAACTGATTCCTGTCATAAATCGTTATAATGAATCGTCTTTTCTCGTCGATTTACCGAATCATATAAAGAACATCATGAGAAGCTGTATACCATGCGTATTTTGAATTGTATACATGCTCTTCTTTGACATCTAGAAATGAAATTATCTACTTCTATTAGGCTTTAGGCAATATTTAACGTATACTTTCTACTATAATAAAATTTTTCAGTCCACGAAGAGAATTTTTACATAGCTAACCAGACCCAGCCTACATTCATAGTATACGTGTGAAAAAAAAGACTATATAAAGCCTATAATTATCTGCAGCCGCACAACAGAGATGTCTATCGTGGCAAAAGATCCATCGCTGCTCCGATGGTTTTCGAAAAATTCATCAAAAACCTCCTCCATCGTTATGCTAAATTATCACAGTTAGATTGAAACCGTCAGATTCTCCACAATTCAGACTGTTACACTTGTAGACACTCAAATCCAATGCAAATTCATGGAACTGTATAATTTTCCTAAAAGGAAAGCTGCCATTGTCATGATAATATTTTTGAAGCATCTCTTCCGCCACCGACACGATCATGATGGCGATAGCACAGCCATAGATATATCTGCCTCATAGCAAAATTGTTTTATACGAAATTACTCATATTATATACATACGTGGAGTTCAGAAAACATACTATTTTAAATCAGAGAATAGTTGCAAGTGTTTTCAGCATTTGAGATGTTCACGAACTGATGACAATTGGAAGTTGAATGAATTTCTAATTCCATAACATTAAGAAAATGTTGATGTATATCTATTATCGATATGAGTAATATTCGAGAGTAAATTTCGGAAGAGTATTCTCTTTATATGTGTTACGTGGAATTCGATAGTAGATTAGATGAACCATGAAAAGCTTCTTTGTGTGAATCATCTCTCTTGACGAGCACATCCATCTATCTTCGATAGAATATGCTGTATGAGGCTTTCTATCTTTCTAAGATTTTTTATATTCGAAAATAAATATTTGCATGGGCTTCTTTCTCAACCAAATATATGAGGATGTTTTCACTATAAAAGGCAACATAATAGAACTAATCTTCGTTTTTCAAACGAATCTGACATTGAGAATTTCTAACCTCAAATGTCAACATACAAATGTTGATTTTCTCACATATGCATTTATCAAATATCTAAGATTACAATAGTTTCTAATTGAATACCGAGTCTAGTTTTATATTTACTCCAATAAATACAGAGTAGTTTTTCTAGATAAGATAGATTAGTTTAAGATAGATAAAGATGGAATATATATGAATAAATCTAAAGAAATTGTCCATTTAACATGATTGCATTTCTTTAATTCACATGAATTTGTTCTCGCTCTATCGGTAATATGCTAAGTCTTTTTTTTGTATCTTCTGAATTATTCTATTGAAGACTGCTATCGAAACCATTCAAAATATCCGAACAGTCATTCAGTTAACCAAGGAAACTCATTTCTATGATAAATATTGTCAAATCCTTGATGCTGTTCATCGGTATGACTACTTTTTTTTTAAATCTATTTATCAGCAAACGTATCTAATTTTCTTTCAGATCGTCAATCAAGCGTGCTTATATTTTAGCCATTTTATTCTCTGTAGCAAATTCCGCTATTTACTTTGCCATAGCAGCCTTCATTTCTTATGGTACATTTTTGTTTGAAGAACGTGCAGTTCCTTTCGAAAATGGCTTTATGTGAGTACTAGAAAATCGCGAATTAATACACAAAATTCGTTGAATAAATAATGTGTTAGGGTTCTTAATACTGTTGTTTTCGCTGCTCGAACTATTGGTCAAGAGTTAGCACTGTAAGTTTTTGATTGAATTTAATCAGTTGAAAAAATGATTTACCATTTAGATTTCCAGACTATGGAAAAGCAATCGAAGCTGCTGAAAACATCTTCAAGTTATTGAATCGAAAACCAGCAATTGATAATGAATCAAATAATGGTGTTAAAATTGTGTGTGAATACTATAAATATTTTCGACACGCAATAACTATCTATTTTGTCATTTAGACTGGCTTTACTGGGCAACTTGACTTTAAAGATGTTTATTTCAATTATCCGAATAGACCCGAATCAGCCATTCTCAGAAACTTCAAACTTAAGATTCAACCTGGTATGTAAAAATGTGCTTAATTTATTTTGATCCTTGTAAAAATTCGTTTTTTTCGTTTGTTTTTCTTAGGTCAAAAAGTAGCACTTGTTGGTATGTGTACTTACTAACCGTTCTCTTTAAAATGAAACAATTCATTTTCAAATGTCAATCTATTTAGGTACATCTGGCTGTG